GCAGTGTCTGGAGCAGATACAGTTCCTGTCTCCAGGAAGCTCACATTTTTGTGGGAGGAAGAAGGCATAAGGAGCTAAATGCATAATATTATAATATTACATCATAATTAAGTTATCATAGCCATAATAAGTGACATGAAGGAGAGGTAGAAGAGGTTAAAGAGGTTTATTGGGAGACCTAGAGCAGAACTAGTCCATAAGCTAGGCATCACCAGTACCCCAAAGCCAGAAATGGCTGGAGCTGCTTTAGAACACATGAAGAAACCTGTGGTATATTGTTACAAAGCTTTCCTTTTAAAGAGGACGCTGGGACTCACAGACTGAAGCTTGGAAACTTAATCAAGCATGTGCTCATCTAAGAGCATTCTAAGCTCAAAGATGAGTTATCACGTCCCCCACATCCCTTAAAAGGACCCTGTTCAGACAGCACCTAGCACCTGCATGACTCAGTCCCAATTCTCATTTGACTCATCTGCAACCCTCATACTTTGAGCACAGACTTTGTCTACTGCCATTCACAACACAGTCCTACACAAAAGGTAGCTGGATAAATGTTTGATGAGTGAGCGAACAAATGGTGTCCCAGAGAACTTCTGATGAGTGCTAAAGGAGCTAAGCTTGAGTTGAAAACACCACAGTCGAAAGAGCATCTAATGTTCCATGCTAGCACCACAAGCCAAGCCTTTATTATAGTCATAGCTCCTTAACAAACCATTTGATCCTTCCTCCCCAAAGTGCTAAATTCGCTCAATTTTATAAATTAAATATGTCTTAACTTCCTGTTTTCAACCAACTTATTAAGCAATTTTGTGTTGAGTACTATTCTCGGTACTAGAGTATAACAGAGAATGTGATGAGAAGAAATTTCCTGGTTTCATTGCTTTAGACAGTCTTGGTTTGATGTCTCCAAACAAATATCAGAAACTCAAATAAGAGGGGCCAGCAGCTGATGTAGTAGTTAAAGTGCTGAACTCCCACATGACTGTAATTCGAGTCCCAAACTCAGCAGCTTAAAACTCATACCAGGCGTGGGAGCATGTGTGCACCAAATCCCAAGAAGATAATGAAAGATAAGGGATTGTAGTGTGGCCATCCCTCTTGGGGAGTGATTTCTCACTTTCTGTCTTTTTGTCTCTCTGGTGAGGACACACGTCCCATAGCAAAAATATCTATTTTTTAAAAAAAAAAAGATAATTTTGGATGTTGGTAAATGAATATAGTAATGTCTACCTGATTGGAAACTTATGATTAAGATAAGGTACTTGAGGCCTTATGGACTGTTGAAAGGACAGACATGTTGGTCAATAGTATGGAGTAGAGGTCAGAAACAGATCTTAACATACAGAGTCCATTTATTTTCAGCAAAGAAGCCAAAAAATTTCAATGAGAGATTATAGTCTTTCAAAAGTGATGCTGGGTCCAGCTGTGGTAGTACAAACAGCAGGTAGCATTCCAGACTGTAATGGCTACTGTGGTTCAAATTCCTCGCCCAATTGGTGTGAAACATGGCAGGCATGCATGTGAGTGAGTGGTGCCTCACTCCCTTGCCTCCCATGCATGCATGCATGCATGCACTCTATCATGAATAAAGCAAATAATGTTGTTGGATTAATTATACATCAGTAAACAATTTTTTAAAATGAACTTCTGTATCTCACACCATCTATAAAAAGTAACTCAGGGACCAGCAGGTGGCATAATGCTTATGTTGCTAGACTCCCACAAAGTCAACCATAGTTCAAGTCCCAGGCCTGGTGGCAAAGACAGTAGCAGGTACAGGATGTCATCCCGGATATGGTTTTCTATATGGCTAGCACAAGCTATTTTCTCATGTGAAGAGCAAGCATGTTTACAGAAGCAAACAGCCATGTTAGGGTAAGGGAACAAAATGGACAAACAGTTGTTCATGTGCAAGATCTAATATGCGGCCTTCCACAGTGACTTGAAACTCACAGCAGGTGCATGTGTGTGTGTGTGCATGTCCAAAATAGTGACAAGAGATTGGAGGAGAAGGAATTGTAGTGTGACCATACCCACAGGAGGTCATTTCTCACTTTCTGTCTCTGTCTCTCTGGTGAGTGCATGCACCCTATAGCAAGAAATCTCTCTTAGAAAATAATAAATAACTCACAAGAGATCATAAATTGAAGTATGAAACCTAAAAATTTGAAAAATTTTCTAGAGGAAAATATTGGAGAAAATCTTTGCAGCCTTGAACAATGCAGATTTCTTAGATATGGTACCAGAAACTCAATGAAAAAAAAAGAAGAAGATAGATTTTGCTTTATCAAAGTTAAGAACTTGTGGTCTTTGGTGTTATTATTTATTTATTTATTCATGCATGCATACATACAGAGGGCATATATGCTCACCAGAGAGAGACAGAGAACGAGAAGGGAAGTAAGAACACAATCTCCCATCGGGAATTGTCACATCACCATCCCTCTTCTTCATCTCTCCCTTGTTTCTAGATTTTGGGTATACACAGACATGCCCCAGGTGTCTTTCTCAGGTTGCTGGACCTGGAACTCAAACCACACAGTTGGTCATGTGGGATCTTGGGCCAGCCCACCGTGCTATGGGGTGGCCCAAGAACTTACAATCTTTGAAAGACAATAAGAGAATGGAAAGACAAGTCACACACTGGGTAAAACTTTTAAAATCAGAAATCCAAAGACAAAAATTATATACAAAATATAAAAAGAACTTGTAACATAATACTCTTTTTACAACTTTCAATAAGCAGAAAACAACTTGATGATTAAAAAGAGGGGGTCATGCAAAAGATTTGAATACACCACTGAAAAAGATATAATAGTGAATAAGCACAGGAAAAGATGTTCGGCATCATTCATCTTTATAGAAATGCAAATTAAAACCATCATTAGATACCACTACATACCTATCAAGACACATACAATTTTAAAAACTAATAGTACTAAGTGCTGGTGAAGATTTAGAGCTACTGGAACTCTCATTCATTGCTAATGAATACAGAATGGTTCTGCCACTTTAGAAAACAGTTGACAGAGTCTTACGTAGTTAAACATACACTTACCATGTGACTCAGCAATCTCACTCCTAGATACTTACACTAGGGGAATGAAAATGTACATTCCCACCAAAAGCTATATTTGAATGTCTAGTGTAACTTTATTTGTTGTCTTCAAATCCTGGAAACAACTAAAATATCTTTTTTTAAACTTTATTTATTTCTTCCATAAGAGAGAAAAAGAGACCAGTACCTCTAATAGCATCTTCATGCTGCAGTCCACCCTCAGGCTCAGCCAGCCAGGATCACAGGCAGCTGTAAATGAAGAATTAATAAACACACTGTTACCCACCCATATGCCAGAATAATATTCTGAAATAAAAAGGAATTAAGTATAATACATGTAACAATGTGGATGAGTTTCAAATACACTATTCTCAGTAAAGAAGCCATATTCTCTTACATGACATTCTGGAAAAAGCAACACTACAGATACAGAGAACAGATCAGAGCTGGGGTTGGGAGAAAGGTTGGCACTAAAGGAGTATGGAAGCATTTTGAGGGGTCAGTAATGGAAATACTCTATCTTGATTGTAGTGGTGGCAGGACATCATGGTATTCCTTGTCAGATTGGAAGAGTTCCATACTAAAAAGGGTGTATTTTATTGTATGTAAAAATCTTTAAGTTTGGGACCAGCAGTTAGCGTAATGGCTATGTCGCTGAACTCCCATGTAGTCGACTGCGGTTTGAGTCCCGGACCTGGTGGCTTAAACTCACGCCGGGCACATGTGCGTGCATGCCCAGGGTCCTGAGAGGAGAATGGAGGAGAAGGGATTGCAGTATGGCCATCCCCCCTGGGGGGTGATTTCTTGCGTTCTGTCTCTCTGTCTCTCTCTGTCTTTCTGGCGAGCACATGGCCCTATAGCAAAAACCTCTCCAAAAAAAATCTGTAACATTACTTATTTCTTCCATGAGTGACAAAGAGAAAGACAGAGAACCTCAGTAGGGTCTCAACATGATTATCTGTCCACAGCCTTCAAGTCCCAGACCATGGACAAATGTGTGCCCAGCATACTCAGGGAGGTCTCCAGACTTGAACTAAGAGCCTGTTGATGTGGGATTGTCTTATAGAACATGTTTTACCCCTGTACCACCATCTCTCTCCTTCCCAATATTTTTTAAATTGCTAAAGGTTACATTCTCTTGCCAGAGAGAGAGAGAGAGTATACCCAGTAGGATGTGAACATGTTTCAGTCTCTTCTCCTCTACCAGTCCATCTGGTTAGGATTTGGGGCATGCTCACACATATGCCCAGCATGTTTTTCAAGCCTCGGGGGGCTAGAGTTGGAACTGCAGTCAGCCATGTGGGATCCAGCTTTCCTTAACCACTAGGCTACAGAGCCAGGCTCTCAATTGTTTCTTATTACACAAAAACTTATAAAAATTACAGAGACTCTATGCATAAAGGATTAGTGGAGGAAAAACAACCAAGTGATATGCTAGAAAGTGTCGTGGCCAAGGTTTGAAGGTGTTATTGACACTGAGTAGCTTAGGGGCACCTGTCTGAAGAGGTGGCATCTGCACAGACATTTAAGTGTCAGGAAGGAGCTGGCGTGGGCAGGTGTGGAAGCAGAGCCTTCCAGAAGGGAACAGCAAAAGAATAGCCCTGAGGCAAACAGAGCCTAATGAACAGAAAAGATAAGCCAGTGCCTACTCTTTGCTATGAACTTATTGAGAAAAAAAAGGACTTCTAGTGAACAAAAATCTGGATCATCTCAGATCTGAATTTAGGCTATGCAAAATCAAACTTGCTAAATATAGTGGGTAAATATAGATTTAAGGCTGCCCATAAAAACTGCAGGGGGAGGCATGGGAGCAAGACCAGGGAAATGGGAGGAGGTAGGAAGGACAGGAGAGGGCATGAAAACAAAGCATGCTTACTTGTAACTTGGTATCTGGCTAGAACTGAATTACTCCAGTGTCATAGAATCACCTTCTTTCTTTTAGGTTTGCTTAGAAGACAGTACAAGCCAAGCAATAAGTAAAATGAAGGCCTGTGAAATCCATCGACATCCAAGTTCAGACTTCATGTTCTGTGCATTCTCAACTTTATGGGGATGCTTCCGTTTATGTCATTTTTTTCCCTCCCTAATTCTAAAATTAGCATCCTAATTTTATTTATCTATTTGGTGCTTCTTGGACTGGCTCTTCATAGCTTTCTGCATGTGCCTAAAGAACTTGTAAGGAATATTTGATTTCTCTTTGTATTCCAGCAAGGTCAATAGAATTGCTTTAATTTTTTAAATATTTTAAAAGAAACTTGACAAAACCCTACCTCATGTTTAGTATGTATGCATATGTATGATCGACATCAGAGCATGTTAAGAATAATCCTTTATTTTCAATTTTAATCTACTATTTTTGCAAACATTTTTAACAGTTCAACAGCTGGTTCCTAGTTTGGCAATATGTTGAGAGTTTCAGCCTTATTCATGTAAAGGAGTAATACACCAGGAATACTCTTCATTGCCAATAGTGGGTGAGTCTTTATGTAGTTAAGAAAATAAAGACAAAGCCTTTGTCAGTTCTCCTAGGTCTGCAATAAAAACGTACAGCGTGAGACACCAGTGAGGCCTCTCCTTTACTTTTAAGACATTTGTTATATGTCACACGTCAAATGGTGATGAAAGATGATCTTTCCAAAGAGCAGGTTTTCCCCTGGCCCAAACAACCCTTATAAGACTGGATGTCACATCAGCACAACAATCTAATGAAGCCCACCAGGCAGCCTGCTGACTCTGTAGGGACAACTGGAATAAACAGCAACGACATCTTCTCATCAGTCAGCCAGTCACCCAGAGCTTTCAGCTTTCCACTCTGCTGCTTTTGTTCATTCCGGCCACTCAGTTTGAAATAGTGTTCCCCTTCTATCCACACGAGTGATCTGACTCACACCTCTGCGAGGCTTGGCTCCAATACCCCCTGACCTACATGCCTTGCTGACCATGTTCCACACTCACTCCACGTCCCTTCCTGCTTTTGACATGTCTTCCTCCCTTTATCTAGTCCTTTCTCACAGCATTTTGTCACTTTGTATCTGCTCCAGTACATTGTAGTTGGTTTGGGTTTTTTGTTTGTTTGCTTTTGGCTAGAGGGTGTGTGTCCACACCAGAGACAGAGACGGAGAGAGAGGGAGAGGAGAAAGCACTCCTCATGGAGAGTGGTCATGCTGCAATCCCTTCTCCTACATTTCTCCTTTCAGGATTTGGGGCGCATACACACACGTGCATACACATTTCTTAAGCCACTGGGTTAGGAACTTAAACTGCACAGCTGGCCATGTAGGATCCAGCTGCCTTAACCACCAGGCCATGGAGCCAGCTCCCACTATGTTTTTAATAATGGGAAATACCTGAAACTGGGAAATTTATAAAAGTAAATGTTTATTCCGCTCATGATTTGGAGGTCTGAGGTCCTAGGGCTGCCTCTGGTAGGTTCTTCTGGCTGTACCACCACCTAGCTGAGGGCAGGAGGGTGTGGTCTATGTTCCATGTTGTCTCTGTCTTTGGAAACAGTATAGAAGTCAATCATAGGGCCACACCCTGATGACCATAATCTTAATCTCATCGCAAAAGTCCTACCTTTCAGGACCTGACTATATAGTCAGATAAAATTTTACCCTCTTAGTGCTAGTCCAAGGGCAGGAGAACAACCATGTCCCAGCTCAAACAGGCAGGCAGGAAGCAAAAGGGGTGACTGCCTTCTTCCAGCTTGTTCTATTCAGGCCCTCAACAGATTGGATGATACCCACATAGGGGAGGGCAATTTACTTTACTAATACTTTTCAAATGCTAATTTCATCTGGTAAAACCCTCATGGGGACACACACAAATAATATCTACCTGGGGCACCTCTAGTATAGTGTCATAAAATTAATCATCTCAGTGAGGGACAGGTTTTGGGGTCACTTTCAAAATTGCAAATACAATAGCATAATTTCCCATACAAAATACAACAAAGTAACACTTTTATAAGTGGTTCCTTTGATTCTTTTTTTTTTTTAAGCAGGATTTTTGCTATAGGGGGTATGCACTTGCTGGAGAGACAGAGAAAGACAGAGATACAGAAAGCGAGAAAACACTCCCCAGGGTGGATGGTCATGCCACAATCCCTTCTCCATTCTCCTCTTGGGATTTTGGGCATACATGCACATGTGCCCAATGTGAGTTTTAAGCTTTCAGGTCCAAGATTTGAACTGTGGTCGACTATGTGGGTGTCTAGTGATATAACCATTACACCATCTGCTCTTCCCTGATTCTTAATTCTATAGATACAGAGTTGGAATAATAAAGTTACTAAATTTGCCCACCATAATAAATTATATGTTGTATCATTTTCATAGTAATATTTAATAAAACATTATTTAAATTTCAAAACTAAAGATGTTGAATAGCAATTTTTAAAGAATACATCAGGGGAGTTATTGCTTACATAAAAATGCATCCTCTGAGGGCCAGCAGATGGCATAGCAGTTACGTTGCTGGACTCCCACCTGGCCAACTGCAGTTTTGGCCCTGGACCCAGTGGCTTGAAATTCATACCTAGCATGTGTGCGTGCATGCCCAAGATCTCAGGAGGAGAAGGGATTGTAGCATGGCCATCCCTGCTAAGGGGTGATTTCTCACTTTCCCTGTCAATGTCTTTCTTCACTCCCCTCTCCCCCAGTGCACATCCCCTAAGGCAATAAACCTCTACAAAAAAAATAAAAGAAAGAAAATGCATCCTCTGAGAGACCAATGAAAGAATAAGTCATTCCTTCACATCTCCTTTGTAGCAGATATGTATATCAAATGTGTACTTCAGCAAAATGATAAACTCGTAAATATTACAGATCTTTAAGATTGTTAAAAAATGATCAATTTGGGGTTCCTTCAGAGTCATTTGCTTCATATCTCATGCTCATTTCTGTAGACTAATAATGACTTCCTAGAGTGTTTGCTGAGAAGACCTGTGAGGCCACATCAAGCTCAGCAGGAGAGAGTGCTGGACTAGATTATGAATGTCTGCCCTACGTGTGGGTGAAGACAGTGTTGGCAGCCATATTGTGTTCCTGCAATTCAGGGTTATGATTTGTGCTTACCTTTTTGTTTGTTTGTTTGTTTTCTAGTGGGTGCATGTGCTCACTGACAAGAGAGAGAGAAAGGGAAAGTAAGAAATTATCCCACAGAGGCAATGGCCATACCAAGTCCCTTCTCCTCCATTCTCTTCTCAAGATTTGGGGACACACATGCACATGCGCTTGGCATGGTTTTCAAGCCACTGGGGTCTAGGAATTGAACCACATAGTCAGCTGTGTGTGACCCACCTTAACCACCATACCACCTGGCCCTCTACTTACTACTCTTGAAAGGCAGTTCATACTTTATCAGGCCTGATTTCATAATTTTAGTTACTCTTAACTTTAAGATAAATTTCTTTATTTAATCAGTGTACATTTATGGAGCACTGTTCATGCACTGGGTATGGTTAGACATTATGAAAAATTTAAAAGCTAATCAGATACAGATCTATCTCATAAGAAATTTATGGTTGAGACCAGCAGGTGGCGTTACATCACTGGACTTCCATGTAGTCAACCGTGGCTGAGTCCTGGACTTGGGATTTAAAACTCATACTAGGTGCATGTACGTGTGTGCCCAAAATCCAGAGAGAATGAAGGAGAAGGGATTGTGGCGTGGCTATCACCCCAGGAAGTGATTTCTCACTTTCTGTCTTTCTGTTTCTGTCTCTGGTGAGCACACACACCGTATAGCAACAATTTCTATAAAAGAAAAAAGAAACTTAAAGTCTAATATGATCAGTCAGGTGGCATAATAGTTAAGATGGCTGGATTCAACGTGGCTAACTTAGCAGTTCAAGTCCCAGACCCAGTGACTTAAAAATCATGATAAGTATGTGTGCATGTGTGTCCAAAATCCAAGAGGAAAATAGAGAAGGGATTGCAAAGTGGCCATTCCCTTTAGGTGGAGACTTCTCACTTTCTATCTTTCTCTCTGGGTAAGCCCATAGGCTTCATATTAAAACTAAAAACAACAACAAGAAAGTCTCATATGAGAGAAATGTGTGTGGATAAAGGCAGTGCTGGCAGCCAAATCATATTTCTGCAATTCAGGGTTTATAATTTCTGCTTACCTTTTTTGTTTGTTTGTTTGCTAGAGGGTACGTGTGCTCTCTGAAGAGAGAGAAGAGAAAGGGAAAGTAAGAAAGTACTGGGGTTAATATTTGGGATATTTCTATAGCTTTAATATGTCCCCTAAACATTTATCCGTTGAGTCAGTGTGCACATACACACGCATACATGTATATTTATATCCATTCTGTTCTATTTCTCTGGAGAATCCTAATATACTTTTTAATATTAAGAGAAGCCTTGGGGACCAGCAGATAGCGTAATGGCTACATCGCTGGACTCCCATGTAGTTGACCACAGTTCGAGTCCCGGACCCAGTGGCTTAAATTCGCGCCAGGCGCATGTGCATGTGTGCCCGAGATCCTGAGAGGAGAATGGAGGAGAAGGGATTATGGCACGGCTATTCCCCCATGGAGGGGGATTTCTCGCTTTCTTTCTGTCTCTTTCTGTCTTTCTGGCAAAAGCACATGTTCTATAGCAAAAACCTCTCCAAAAATAAGAAAAAAGAAGAAAGAAAGAAAGTAGCCTTGAATTTAGGGGAACTTTGGAAATTTCAGGTTTCTTGTGACACTATCAAATTAAAATTAAGACAAAGACAAAGCTATGGGGAATTAAGGCAAGTTGTGCAGGAATTGGTGGCAGGAACTGCTCTGAGGCAGTCCATATTTTGGATTATGCAGCTGGGACACCAGTGGGACTTGAGAGACGCACAGACTGAGGAACTCTAGAACACATACCAGGAAGATACCTGATTCTTGTATGCCTTTGCCAATAACACAAGACTTGACTGAAAATACCTTAAACAATAGGAAATGTATCATATCACACTAATACCTAGTCCAGAGGTAGAATAGGCTTTAGGAGTGATGACTCAGTGGCTCAGTGATTTCATCAAGGATAGAGGGTTTTTTTCC